TTAATTTGATATCTAATAGGACTGTGAGAAAATTATTAATTGTTAGTTAATTAAATTAATAAATATTAACTCAAGCATATATCAGATATCAATGAAAATCTTTAAAGTGGCCCCTAATTTACATTATAACTTACCCATGCAGAGGGAAATTGGAAAACTAGATAAAGCTTTTGGAGATATAAAAGCGAAGGTTACTGATATTAGTATAAATAAATCTTCCTATTAGCCATATATTTCTCAGTCACCCTGCAAAGGTTTATTAGCTAAATACCGATAATACTAAAAGCAGCTTGGCGAATCTTGATGGGTGCAGTATTCAGGTTGCAGTTACTTTTATATGATTTTGAATGCTTGAAACTAGTGTTGTTAAATGGCTCAATTTGAGCCGATTACGGCTAACTCAATATTTTATCCAAAAAATATTACACAAGTCTGAAAATTTTGCTTATAGGTGGCACACAAGTTCGGACATCCATTAGCGAAATCTCGAGGCTTAATCAATATTTTTCTGGCTAAAATATTGAGTTCATCGTTTTTAAAATCGGCTCAAATTGAGCTGTTCTGCTTGAGCTTATTCGCACAATAACTAAAAAATATGGTTATATTATTCAATAATTAACATATATCCCTCCTATGAGGTTTAGAAACAGGGATTTTCTCACAAATTAATGAGGTCAACCTAAACAGGTACCATTAATGGGTTACATTCAGATCGAGTTTAGAATCTAGTTATTATCAACTATCCTTTTGACCTTGATTTGAATGCAACCGTACTTTTGAAATTTTTCAATTTGGGGAGCAGTCTAAACCGTTTTAGTTAATCTTCACTAATACAAACCAACATGTTATAACATCTACTCAAAATACTATTAACCAAAAAAGATGGATTACCAGAAATAAAATTTTTAGAAAAAATATACGTCATATTAAAGTGCTTTATTCGGGAGTGGTTGCAATGGAGCGATTCCCATTAAATTGGGAGAAAAATTACAAATGAGAATTCTATGATCCAGTTTTTGGTTAGGTCGTGGTTACAAATGCCAAGTGATTTAGGGGAAAAAAGAGGAGCCAATTATTAGAGGTGATTTGTAAGTTATATCTTAAGTTTGTTTGGAATGTATCAATATGGACAAATAGACATGCAAAAATCTGAAAGAATCGGGTGTAGAAGAAACTATGTAATACATGTCTTAGAGAAATTAATTACAAATGCCTACCTCTAGCTACTTCATTGTTAAAAGAGTAAAGGGATTAATATACTTAAGTTCTTATAAAAAATGAGATGCTAGTTAGAACATAATTTAATCATGTCATAATAAATTATTTTCTCCACCTGAAGAGTTTCATGGGTATTCTTGAAATAAACATAAATTCCAAATATTAAGATGAATATATTACGATAAGAGAATTTTATATAGCTTGTGATATAGTAGAAAATTATCATTAAATTGATATAATATTTTAAAGTAAAAATGACATAAAATATATGGAAAGAAGCCAATTTCACAAGAATCTCAAAAGCAAAATGAGGGCTTTGTGGATCTTGTTATTGAGGAAATTGGCCAATATTATACATAACACTTCCTAATTCTGTTTCTTCAGAAAGAAAATGGTCGGTTTGGGTAAGAATTAGACAACAGGAAAATTGCTAAGAGTATATCAAAATTAATAAAATACTCTGTTTAAGATTGAGTCAGAGAGCCAGACGAAATATCAATGCTATAGTAAATCGAAATATTAAACTTAATTATCTATTCATTTATGACTATATTGTATATTGAGAATATATAGTAGGTATATTTGTAGTATTCTATCTCTTGTTCCAATTTCATAATAGTGATTTTAAAAAATTGACATCCTACTATTTTCATAAGGGTATGAACTCACAAAAATAATAAGTATAGGAATTTATAACGTAATTATGGTTTTCTGGAGAACTTCAATAAAATTTTTCTAGGTGAGATGAAACAAAAATCCTAATTTTAAATTACAAAAAATATTAACGTATTCTTCTATATTTAAGTAAAATAAGTATTTTTCCTTTAAATTGTCCCATAAAAATAATTTCACGAGTAATTCTTAATTTTTATTAACAGATTTTAAAAATAAATAAAATAAAAACATAGTACTATTTATTAGGCTAATATACTCGGCGGGTCATGAGTAGGTCCTAGCCATTTTTTGAAAATTAGACTCCTAAGAGCCTTTCAAATTATAAAAATCTTATTATTTAATTTATTTAAATATAAAATCTAGTAACATGATTTGAATTAAAATCATTAGAGATGTGAAATCTTAATAAGTATGCAGGTGCGGACTGGCCATAAGACCAGGTGGGCATTTTGCCCACGAGGCCACGAGAAAATGTCGATTTTTGAGGCCGATCAGAGGAAAATATCAAAAAAGAGGCCGATTAGAAAAAAAATAAATTATTATGTTCACATTATGTTCTCTTATCATTTATTTATTTTTAATGATATCTCTATGATTTGAATAGCACATTCCTTGACAATTGTCATGTCGTTTACTATAATTTAATGCATAAAATACCAGTAACGTCGCTTGACGCTATACATCATTACCACATTCTTTCCTTTGTTTTTTTTCAAATGAAGTAAAAACGCTTCCGTTTGAGTAGAGTGAAAGCTAAGTTTTGATTAATTCATTGTATAACATTTTTATACATTGATTTATTTAGTAGAAATAATATAGCCAACATTTCTTGTTCTTAATTAATTGAAATCAAATAAAACCCAGGTCGGTGAATCAGATAAAAGGATGGATGTTTGGGTGAAACAGAATAATTCATCTGGCCAAAATAAGTTGAGAAAGCTGCAAAAAATAGGTTAGATAAAGTGGTGGGAACGTGAAAAAGCCCTTAGAGGATATATGGTAAAGATAGCTTGCTCCCAATAACGATAAATGCACTTCAATTTATAAATAGATAATAAATCATTTTGAGACAAAATTTGATAATTTATGTAAATTTAAGACTTTAAGTATAGCCATAATATATTTGGAAATTTTTGAAATAATTGAGCCACTGTCATATCTTCAAACTAAATAATTTGGTACTTTGTCAGTATGGAAAATGATTCGATTCAAAATAAAGCAATAAAATGGCTTCTAATTTAAATGAAACACTTTAATATTTAAAGCTCCCGGAGAGTATAAGGGTACAGAATGCTCTGCCAAGAAATCGAATATGACGAGCGAAGAGAATATATAGTGACAAATGCTAAGATAAAGGTCCTCAAGAATCGATTGATCTTTATAGGTTCGGAGTTATTCGTCCTATAATTGATCAAATTATAAACAGCGTGTCGGAACGGCTCTCTGCGAATTGAGAGCTTTTTTTGAATGTGCAATATTTGCATCCTAGACATTTTGATGAAATAAATAGTAAAGATATATATATTGAGTGTTAAATTACGTAACGAATAATGTTCATTTGCCAGTGTATTCAAAGATTTGGTAGAATTTAATGAAACGGACGGGATCGTATATACAAGTGAGGAGTCAAATGAAGAAGATGGAATATTAAAATATGATAATAACTCAGAGTATCATAATAAATGTAACAAGTGTTTAATGTGTGTATGAAATTTTTAAAAGATGAAATATGCATACAAGTGACATTAATTTATTTTTGGCATATGAATGCATTTTAACTTTGTCATTTACGCAGATTATTTGCGAAAAAACATTTTGTAAATTAAAAATTATAAAAATAAGCTGAGAGCTAATATTGACCATAAAAATTAGAAGCGTTTGTCAGTTGAATGAGAACCATTAGCGCAGATTGAACTAGAAGATATTCTTGTATATTTGCGCAAAGGTTCAAAGTTAATGAGAGATTTATATATATTTCCTTAATTCTTTTATTTGAATTTTATTACAATATGATCGGTGCCTGATTTTATAAGTGCAGCAATTTTATACGCTGTAATATTGTATAACTGATAACTGCAATAATTTTATATGTGTAATTAATTGATTTAATATATTGAGTACGTATTTTTTTTTATATTTAACATGTGATGTATTTTTATATTGGCAATGAATATGATTTTAGATGTGCATTTTTAAAAAATAAAATATATGATTGCTATTCTTTTTTTTTACTAAAAATGTAAATCTTTTGAACTTATTTTCAAAAATAAGAAGTAATAAATATCATGTAAATCGAAGAAGCCATATAAAGGAACCCGGGCAAAAGCGGGCCGAAGGCCCGCAAAATTGAAATATGGGGGCGAAGCCCCATATAAATGAGGCCGCTATAAAAAATTCCCACGAGGCCGTAGCGTCGCCAGTCCGCCCCTGTAAGTATGTACATTAGAAATAATATCCTTTAATAATATATTCATCAAACCTATTTTTGCAATCTTTTTTTAATAGTCATTTAAAAAAAAATAGTTTTATAAAATAATATAATATTTATATTTATGAATTTGTCAAAAAAAATCGATAAGTTATGTAGTTATCTCAATTTATGCAATATTTTATTTTATTCTTTGTAATTGCAATAAAATTATTTTATATGAATTAGCTTATAATTGATGTGATCTAATTTACTATGGAAAACAATTTTTTTTAAAATTAAAATAGAAACCGGGTGTAGTTTTTTTGTGAAGGGGGCGGGGGGTATGCCTCTGAGTTACAATGCTTGTGCATATCTAACGTCATGTGATCATATTTTCACCAATTAGATTGCTAATTGACATATTCAAAATTACATTGTTTTATATCCAATTATAGGGTAATAATAAATATGCTATACATAAAAATGAATTACCGGAGAGGAGATAAAAAAAGTCAAGGTAATCGTGTTTTAAAGCAGGTATTATATAAATTTTTATTTTTGGCTATATATAATACATTTATTGTTATTTAATACTTAACGCTTATGTTAAAAACTTATAATTTAAAAATTCTAAACCCTCTAAAGACAACATCCATATTTTATTAAAGATGAATGTATGATAATATGATAAATGTACCCCTAGAGAGGAAAGATGAACTTTGTAATGGTTCACTCAAACCAATATCATTTTGTGCTTGAATTCTAATTATGTAATCCTGATTTGGTTTCAAGTTTTTGATAATAGCCATTAGAGTATCACCAGATACTTTTACAAGAGGCTCCCAGGTTAAACCATTGTTGGAGGATATTTGTAATATATAGTTTCTAATTGGGGATCCTCCGTCTGAGTCAGGAGGGTTCCATCCTATTTCGAAATTTCGACTTCCTTCAGGTATTTCTCGAATTATTACAGGCCCTTTAGGAGGAGAAGGTACGGCTTTTTGGAGGTTAAAACAAAAAATATATTTTGCAAAGGATAGCTAGAATTAGCTAAAATTAAATAAAAGCTATATATAGACATACTCAATATTCTGGAAATTTTAATAGGTGTAGTTGTAACAGCAGGTTGACTTGTTCCTATCTGGTTAAAAGCGAAAACTCGTAAATAATATTCTTCGTTAACTTCGATGTTTTTGTCAACTAAGTATGCCATGTGATCTTTTAAACAGGTTAAATCATTAATATCCGTTATATGAATCCATTTTTGGGATGAGGCTTTTCGAATTTCTAATATATATCCAAGAATTTGAGAACCACCGTCTGTTTCAGGTTTATCCCACTCTAATGATATACCTATTTTTTCGCGAAGATTTGATGCCTTTAAATTGAGAGGTGGTGAGGGGACATCTAAAATTAACAAAAAGAAGTTTCCTTCGTATATAATAATAAATGATATTTTTCGTTTTTTTTCTTTATAACTTTAATTTTTAGTACAATTTAGTTATGCCTTTATCTCATAGTCAAACAAAATTGTTGAAACAAGTTAAAAATATAAAATTTGCATATAATTTTTTAAACTGTTTGATTTGTTTTTATGCTTGATATTGTGTAGGTAGGTGGTAGAGATAGTACTAAGAAATTTTTTTTATTTGAAAATAAAATTATTTAATTTGCAAAAATTGTTAAGATAACAATATTCTTAACAAATTTTGCAAGTTAAATAATATCATTTGCAAATAAATGGAAATGTTTTCCATCAAATCTGCACAATACTATATTAGTTTAAACAAATATATTCTCAAAAAATAATCCCTGGAAATAAATATGCTAAAGAGATACGATGATGATTATAAATAAAATAAATTTTTTAATTTTTTAAATTACATCATTTAATATTTTTAAAACGGGTTATAGCTTATAAAAAGATTCGAATAACTCTTAATTTTTTTAAAAAGGTTCGGTACATTCATTAAAAAATACCAAAATATATAGGTTAGGTTTTCATGATTCTGTTCAACACTCTGGTATTTATCATTTTATAATAATTAAATTATTAATATTAGAGACCTGAAGCGCAGAAAAAATATATTTAAATTATATCAATTGAGTTAAAAAAAACATATAATGTGGAGCATTTAATTTCTTTTACTGTTCATATTTTCAATTTCCTTTTAAAAGAATTTGAAAAATACCGCCAATATTATTCAAAATAGCCATATCTTAAGAGTTCCGGATAGGGCCAAAAAATTATCAAAAATAATAATCTATTTTTTATTGTATATTTGGTATAATTAATTTTAATTTATAATTGATATGCTATATTTAATTTATGAATTATTTTCTATAAAATGAAGTTCGAATTCGGGGATGCATTTCTTTTTCAGAAAAGAACGGTCTGATCCCATCAAAATAGAGACATAGGAAAATAGCAATACATAAAATATATTTTTAATTAACTAACCTCAAAGTCCTCTAACACAGGGAGTTCCTTCTATAAAATATTTATATTCCAATCCAAAATTTAATTTATTTTTTTACAAATTGATTGGAATATGATTAAACATCTAAAAACTAGGCATTCAAATTTAAATCTTGTTATAAATAAATTAAGCATTATTGGTATCAAGAGAAAATTTGGGCTTAAGTATATATTTGTATAAAGCAGTATAAAAAAAATAATTAGCCATTATAGAGAAAACGGGCGTGGATATTATGAAAGATGAGGACGATTTCAACAATTTTCTCAATGGCTGCCATATTACATAGAATTTAAAAATTCGAGTTTATATTATTTTTCTCAGTTTTACTAAAAATACTCTCAATCGTACGTTTAGCGTGTGAAAGATTGCAGATGATGTCGAAGTATATCATTTTTTTCTATGAAAATTCAATTTATCGTGTAGCACTAATACAATTTCTAATTAAAATAGAATATTATTGTTAACTTTTATACTTATTGTAAATATATTATATAAAAGATATAAAAGATTAATTCATAATAAATTGATCTAGCCTATCTCCACTATCAAAATTCATTAATGTCATGGAATTTAAGAGCCACCGGATAGATTTGAATTTGAAGAGAAAGATGTTATTTTTTAAAGATTAAATTATGTTGATACATTTTATTTATCTTTTTGGTTGTATATTATATATATTACTCAAATTTACATGAATAAATAATTTTTCTACTTTTTAATAATTATTCTTAACTTGATGTTGTTTCACTGGTGAAATATATTTTATACAATATTACTTATTATGATGTAAATTAAATTAACTTTATATGTTCTCTGCATATTTCTTTATTAATATAATGGTAATGATTAATGAACATAACCATAATGTAATTATTTAAAAATTATAATAATTTATAAATTTACCTGCTTTGATAGATGCTGGTATCATTAAATCATCTTCCAATTCAGCTGGAAGACTATTTCCTACTATGTTTGTGGCCTTTACCCTAATTCTATAAGTCTTCTGAATTGATAAATCTGTCAACATAATAGAAAATATATCCCATTTAACAGTCATAATATGAATCCAATTTTCCTTGGCTTTTTCTCTAATTTCTATAGCATAGCCTATTGTTACGATAATATTTAATTAAAAAAAGGAGAGTATTAATATTACTAATTATTGGAGAGCCCCCGTCATTCAAAGGTTTCTCCCATTTAAATATTATATTCACATCTTTGTATTGAATTGATAACTTTTGAGGAGGAGAAGGAACGGCTTAAAAAAATTAATTATATGATTATAGTATATTCTAGTATAGGGGATCTAGAAATCATGTAAAACTTTAAGGGAAGCCTTGGATTCTTGAATATCGTAGGGTAATGTATTTCTTACGAGTAGGAACCGGTCTAGTTTCGGGTGAGCCGGACATCATTAAAAAAATATTAACTCTATATCCTGACTCTTTCTTTCCTAGTTGAATTTCACGAATAATATGAAGAAAAAAACACTAGAAAAATTAAAAATAAAACACAATAAAAATAGATAAAAACCGAATAAGGAAGTCAATTAGAGAGAAATATTATTTTACTTTTTCTTTTCACTATTTTCATAAAAAAATAAGTGAAAAGAATAAATTAAACTGGTAGAGAAACCATGAAAATAATTTTCAAAAGTTAAGAAAACAAGAAACTATATGCTATACAGGCTCCTTGCAAAATTTTTCAACTGCTGATCGTATTTTAGGAGAAAGAAGTGGGCGACTGATTTATTTATTTAAACATATTCAAAATGATCTCATTTAATTTTCTAAATGTCAAGCCCTGAAATGCCCGACCTGAAATAAAAATTATTTGTCGCCGGTCCGACCCTAATTCATTTAAATATATAAAGATTTAATTTTTTTATTGTAAAAAAAATATTCTACAAATAAAAATTATTAGAGCTATGTTTCTTGTAAAAATTTTAAAATATATCAATTTATTTGACAAAATTTAATACCATATTTTAAAATTTAAGCCAGACCCGGCCAGAAATTTTTTTAAAAAATATTAGGCCCGATCCACCCCGAAACCAAATTATTTCTATTCTAAAAAATGAACCCGGGCTCGGGCCGGATCGTGATTAGTAGATTCTAATATAAATAAAATAAAAAAATTAACATTTTAAAATTGTCAGAGCGATTGCTGGATTTTAAAATTTATTCGTAACTATGAAAGAATAGAGAATAAATTATTAAATAGTCAAATGAAACTATAAAAGATCGTCTCCGTTATTTAAGATATAGCGATTTAAGTCAAAATGCTCACTTGAAATGACTCGTCATTTTAATTTGACAAAAAGCTTTATAATTACCTTCGATTACCTCTAAATCACTTAACGGTATCTCGAATCCATGGGCAAAACTTAAATATATCATAAAAAATTAAAATTATGATAATAATTTTTAAGGAATGTTAAATATATATCTTAGTTAACATTTGCCTTGTTTGTATAGAATGATATAATAAATGTGTTACCCATAACAGATATATGACCTCGAGTCTCTTTATTTTTGTAATGGCAAGAGTAGTTTCCCTCTTGATCCTTTTTGATAGATTTGATAATAAGTGTGTATTGCAAACCCTCTTTTTCTAGCTTCATATTTTGTTTTTCAAACTCATTAATAATTATAGAATTCTTTTTCCAAATAATTTCTTCTTCAAAAGGGGGTCCATTGAAGGTAACGGTCATTATCACCGAGGAGCCTTCATTAACTTCTTGATCGCATAAACCTTTCATAAAATCTATTTCTAAATAATGAATTATATTTTATTATATAGTATATTAATAATAAACTTAGAATAAATATAAGTTATATAACAAAAAATAAGGACAACTTTTCACTGATGATTTTAAGAATAAAATCATTAACTCTTTAAATAATAAATTAAAATAATTTTAGCATATACTAGAGTTAAATGTATTATAACCATTTTGCAAAATGCATGAGCTTAACACTGTAAAAATAAGAAGATATGATTCTTATATGTAGGCCTTTTTAAAATAATCTACTGTTTATTTTATTTCATTAAGATTAACAAAATAAATAAATTTTTGAACCACCCGTTATAAAGGTTTTTTGATTTATTAAGTGACTGTTTCTAAAAACGTGGATTACAAATAAAAAATATAAGAATTTTTATTGACTTAGAAGCCTAAATCAAGCGAGAGATCAGATAATGTTTAAATATAGCGCGATAGTCATGTTTTTAAATGTATTTGCAATTCGCGCTATAACACTGAGATAAAAATTTATTTGGTTAGTTCTACAGACTTGCATCTTAAAAAAATCAAATAAGTATCAAGGAAATAATTGGTAAACCTAAAAATAATGAAGATCCGATAAATATCCAAGGAGATTAAGAGAGGAAGTGTATATCAGAGATAAACTTATGGACCAGAACGTGATAATCAAAATGGACGTTATATTTGCAGGATAATAATGAGAAAATTCTGGAGGAAACAAGAAATACTTCCGGTCGATTTAGAAAAGGTCAGAAAAAAGGTTTTAATGGAGAAAATTATATTGAAATAAGATTTAGGGTGGTAGAAGAGGAGTTAACTCCTGAAAAATTAAAAGATTTGATTAGGAAGGATTCCAGGTTGCTATAAACTGAACCGATAGAATCCAATAGAAAATGAATGGATGAGAGGACAATACGAATGATAGGAAGGGTACTGGTTATCCTTTAGCAGAGAAGAGATATGACGAATAAATTGACAAAAATATATAATAAATAAATTAAGATAATAAAGCTAGTAAATTCAAGGTCTAGACTGGGTATAGATTGAAGAAATTTACGGAGATAAGAAAAAAGAATATTAAGAAGATATTGCCTCATAATATGGTCAAATAAATAAATAATTTGATGAATATATTTTACCTAAATTTTCATAAAAAATAAATAGTATGATTTTATAGTCAATATATTTTTAAATAAGTAATACATAATTTTATATAATGATTAATGAGAATTTAATTCTAACCTAGCCCGTTTTGCATGGTGTAAATAGTTCACTCTACTATACTAAAGTGACGATATGCTCATTATATTTAGTATTAGGAGATTTTTTTTTTAATTTATAAAATTAAAGAAATATAGTAAAACAAATAAAAAATTAAAATGGGATTTTAAAATAGCAAAAAGAAATTGTTTAAATTTTCTAAAAAACAAAGGATATTTCTTAAAGATATAAAATTATAAAATATAATTTTGCTTGAAAGTTTAAAAAAATATTACATGATTTCTCAAATTTAATTTAAAAAATGTAGCATTATTACTTTGAATTCGGAATTTTATATTCGCGTTGACTTTCCGATAGAATTATCGAGGCAAATAATTAATTTCAAATTAGTTTTAAAATATAATTTCATGTATCTTCTATGGTAAGTTAAGAGATACAGTGATCTAATATTATATTTTAGGATAAAATTATAAAATTTGCTTTTGAAAAAATAACATATATATATATATATATATTCTATAATATAATAAAATAAATTTTATGCTTTAACATGTATTAAGTTATGTGGATTGTTTAGCTGACAATGTCATACTTCCACCGCTATGCATTACAAGTCAGCGACGAGGAATGCATAGAAAAATGTTGCAGATAATTCGAATCTTCCTGATACAGTAAGAGATACTGAAATAAATTGTAGTGATTATAATTTGCCTATTAGTTATAATAAAATAATGAAAAATTTTGTTGAAAGAAAATCTCTAATTAGCAAAGAAGCAATTATATGGCGAATGCTTTGATCATTTCGTTGGGAAAAGTCATTCACAATTATTTGCCCCTTATTTCTTAATAATGGGTTCCATTTTTTAAATTAACCAATGTTACATATACACAAATAAAAAGTATTTATTATATTATTCCATTGCTAAAAAGATTTATAAAAATTTAATAGTAGTTATCACTTCTTCCAAAGGAGAAAATGTTCTGGTCTAATAATATAGACTTATCCATTCTTATCCGAAAAATTATGTCATTATTTATTTTTAGTGACATGAAACAAAGAGATGTAACTTTACTTTGGGTTTTCTGCTGACGCCCTATAAATTAAAAAAAAATTGCGGCCTGAAAAACCCAGTGAATTTATTGAAAATGATTTTCTTGATAGATCAAGTGATCACTTTTTATCTAAGAAGATGATGGAAATCAAAGAAAGTGCAGAACCACACTCAAATCAGATTTTTCTTTAAAACTCCAATTCTTTTTATTTTATCATGATTGAAAAATTTCCAGAAATTCTGATGTTTTACAATTCAATTCATGTATAATAATTTTAAAGATTATTTTTAAAAAAATCATGTTTATAAAATTTGTAATTGAAATAAGATTATAAATTTTTTGGTGATTTGGTATGCATAATGGCTAAAGATCCATATGTACAGATTAAACCATGAGTCTGTTATTATATAGTAATGATATTTTCAGGATTTTTTAACAAGGACATGAAGTAATAAAAATCTAAAAAAATTAATATTCTATACACAGGAACTAAGAGCCCCCATTAATGGGTTAAGAAACATATGCCTTAATTGTAAATGAAAAAAATATTTCCACGAACAATACCTATTATGATGACTATGTCACATCTTTTATTATTATTAATAAGTTTTTTTCTTTGTATTTCTTTTACTAATGATAAATAAGTTTATTTTTAGGTCTCATCTTATTTAATATGAATAAATCCATTCCCTAAGATGCCCCCTCCCTGATTGATCTATATTCGTTCATAGACGATTTCTCTCGATTCATTCTTCCTACATTACATTATGGCTTAGCTCGCGGCCGAAATATACCTCGGTAAATACAACATAATAGCTAGTTTTTCAGATCTTATTCCATGGAGTGCATTAATTTTGAATTCGTTGATAATAAATTCTAATAGACTATTTAACTCTTTAGATAAGCATATAAACTAAATATAAAGAGACTGTGTATGTGAGCTCAACAAGTTTCAAATAAAATTTTACTTTGTATTTCCAAAATAGCTTAGAATAAAAAATTAAAAAACCAACAATAAACTCTACTTTAGTTATAAATTGTTATGTGAGTTTCTATTATATATAATTGTTATACCTTTAATTTCAACATTAGCAGATGTTTCCTTTTTCCTGTAGATGCATTTATAGAAGCCTTCATCTTCTAACTTCGTCTTTTTGATATTCAATGTGTAGGTTAAATTATCACTTAAATTTTTCTCCATAATAATTCTAGATATATCGATTGTTTTCTCAGATAAAATTTGATCATCTTTGACCCATATAATTTCATTGTCATTTACAGGTTTGCTTAATTTGACTTGTAATAATAAAGGCTGGTCTACTATTAATGTTACATCTTTTAATTTTTCAACGAAATAGGCATCTTCGAGAGTTTCAGATAATTTTTGAGTCTGATCATCCCCTTTTGTAATTATTTCAATTTCATGTTTGATGGGTAAATCTTTTTTAAAATATTGATTATAAAAACTTTATATTTATAATGAAATCTAATTGTGTTCAAATAATAATTAATTTTAAAAGTAATTTTAGTATTTTCTAAACTATAATAACCTCCACACAAGAGGTACAAATATATCCAAACACATTAGATCATAGATCCGTCTTTTCAATAGTTACCAAACTAGAACCCTACATGGACTCCAAGTCCAAAACAGAGATTCTCACTCGGTCGGGTCAAACTTTGATTTTGAAATTTTAATTTCGGGCAAGACTCGGACCTCAATAATATTCTATATTATATTATTTTCTTAATATTTAAAATTATTTTTTTATTTTCCTTTAGCGCTTATAATTTTTCCGCTATTTATGAAATATCCTATTTTTACCACAGTCCAAAAAATTTCTGTACTCTTTTTTTGGATCGGATAAAACTCGGACATAAACAAAATTTTGGATATGATTAAAAATTAATCTTTGATAAAATATTTGGATTAGATCGGTCTGAAAATCCAATTTATAAATTTTTTTCGGGTCAGGCTGGAATTGAAATAGTCTGATTCAGGGCTCAAATTCAAACAAATTGTCTGTTCCAGACTCCATCTCCTTTTTTCAAACAAACAATCATCAATCAGCCCCCCACCACCCAAAGAGCTAAACTTGAATAAAATCGATAAATAATCTTAACATTTAAGCTGTTCTTCCCTTTTTATCGGGAACACATTTGTCAACAATAATCAATCCTTAGACTTAAACTCATCGATAAAGAAACACTTGACCGGCAATCAAATCTTTAAATATAAAGACTCTTACAACGGGTGTTTCGACGGCCATTTATCATCGAAACCTTGTGACAAATCCAGCTAACCCTTTTATCGTCATTTCTTAGTAATATTTGGATGAAGTGGGTAGTTACAATAGCCTGCCTATTTCCAGGGCATAGAGTGTGACTATTAAGAGATTGGGGATGGGGGGGGGAATTTGGGCCTTGCTTTTAAATTATTTTCTTTAATAAATGCACTGTTCCCCGAGGTTATGATGGTCGATAACCTAGATTTAGTCGATTTTTTAAGGCAGCGATATCAAGATTTTAGCCAAAAAATATTAAACCTATGCCTTGAGATTTCGGTTATAGATGGCAGGAAAATATGGCTCTCCTTTTATAAATTCTCAAGGGTTAAGTAATATTCTTTGACTAAGATCTTAGAGGTTTTCGACAAAACTAGAGGCATAGCCCGAGAAAAGGGTCTTTATGAAAAATATAATTTAAGATAATAGGTCGAAATTTACTTCTTATGCCCATCCCCAGACACCACAAAAAATATTTTTAATCCCATCCTCCTGAAATATGATGGCATAATGATTTTAGTAAAATAAGTAGTTATACAACCCTAACAGCTTATATTCGATAAAATTATACAAAACATAGCAAAGCTGTTTGCGACCTTAACAAATTTTAAATAGCATTAAAATGAATACTTTTTCCATATCTGAAAAATTTGGAATATAAAATAAGACTTAACACTATATTTTAAAAATCAGATGCAGGTTAAGTTTCATTATTATAATTACCTTTAATTTCAACATTGGCAGATGTCTCCTTCATTTTATAGATGCATTTATAGATACCCCCATCTTCTAACTTCGTCTTTTTGATATTCAATGTGTAGGTTAAATTATCACTTGGAGATTTCTCCATAATAATTCTAGATGTATCGATTGTTTTCTCAGATAAAATTTGATCATCTTTGACCCATATTATTTCATTGTCATTTACAGGTTTGCTTAATTTGACTCGTAATAATAAAGGCTGATCTACTATTAATGTTACGTCCTTTAATTTTTCAACGAAATAGGCATCTTCGGTAATGGGTAAATCTTTTTAAATATAGGTTTTTATAAAATAAGTATATATATATGCAATGAAGATTATAATATTTTTTTTAAAAATATTCTTAACTTTATTAATAATCTCTCACAAAAAAACAATTATTATCAAAGAAATAAAACAGTCTGCCATTCTAATTCCAACCAATTACCTGCTCTAGGCAACTTCACCACTACTCAAAAATCAGCAATAATCCATCAACCCCATTATCCAAATCGATAAACTGGTAATAAAATCGAGAAATAACCTCAACATTAGAGCTGTTTTTCACATTTTCCTCTCAGAGCACAAATTTACCTTAAACTAGTTGATATAAAAAAAACCAACCGGTACCTTTACCGAACTATCAACAAGCAAAATATTTCTAAACATTAACCTTTTGAGGAAATCAAGCCACTTTTAAAATATTCCAATGAATTTGATGTCTTTATTCCCATATATTTTAAAATTTTTCCACTAATTAAAATTCCAAGGTATCAATTCTCTTAACTACACTACTAACTATATTTTTAAACCTTGTTGTTGGAAGACAAATCCCACTACCGTTTTATCCTTATTCCTCAGAAGTGTTTACATTAATTAATTGGGGAAGATGAATTCTTCCATATAACTTCTAGAGGGTTAGTAGTAGGTTTCGAGGGTGTTGGTAGTAAAAATATGCTGCGGAAGGGGAGGGGGTAAATTAAAGTCTGTTGCCTCTAATATATTTCCTTTGTGAAGACGCCGCTCCTTGGGTACTTTTAAAATTTTTAAATAGAGAGTCCTTGGAGCACTCTTAGAAATCTTAAAAATAAGAAGAATAGGTGAATCAAGATCCATTGCCTAGGTCCATCTTCCGCGGTTAATCTTCAAAAAATTATGCCTGTCTAGTTATCTAATATCCCTTCAAATTGGTCATGAAATTAAGGAGGGAGCAGAATCCTCCACCCATACAGCTAAAATTGCCTCAGCCAACTACTGCTGCCAAAATAATTTTTATTAAAAATAACGACTTTTAATCATATATGGGACTCTATTAACACCTCGATTTCAAATCCCAGGATTCTTTTTGACTTATCCTTTACTACCCACATTCATGGACACCGATAGCTGCGCTCTAACTATCAGTCTCAAATCATATATTCCGGCACTTGATTACTTGTTTAATTTCGGTTCCATTGAATACCTAATTTTGAACCCGATTCCGAGGACTACCTCTAACCTGTCAAACGAAACACCTCCAGCTTAGATATTCATAGATGTGACTAACTTCAGTGAAAATTTCTAAAGGGAGGCAAAACTCATCTTAAAACTAGAAATACTTCTAAAATAATTCAAAAAGGCTAATATCCCTTTCATCCTTTAATTAGTGGACCTATTCAGAGTAACAAGTTGGATTCACCTCAATTTCTTTTAGCTAAATGTCTATCACTGGCATGATATTATATTATAATTATATAGCCTATTTTTCCAAAATATCTTTGTGATTCCACGATTTTATGAGCTGAGATACTATGCAGACTACCATATCAGCTTTATTCCGTTCATCACCAACAACCTAAGGACACTGCGAGGAGGAAAAAAGAAATGAAGAAAGTAAGTTTTTATATGAAATTAGAGCTATTATAGCTTTCCAATTATATTCTATTTACTAGTTTTTTAGATTTTATTCTATGAGGCCTTTATTAAATTATTAATGTATAATGCTTCAATTAGTTGACAATGTAATCACAACAATGTATTAAATTATTCCGATAAGAACTATATTAGAACGAAACTATACTTGTGTTTCAAATAGAAATCATAATTATTATATTTTAAAATCTGAAAAATTTGTAATAGAAAATTAAAAACTCAACATTATTAATCATTAGATAAGTTTTATTATTATATAAAATGTATACCTTTAATTTCAACATTAGCTGATGTCTCCATTTTTTTATAGATACATTTATAGACGCCCCCATCTTCTAACTTCGTCTTTTTTATATTTAACGTGTAAGTTAAATTATCAATAGGGGATTTTTCTAGAATAATTCTAGATAAATCGATTGTTTTCTCAGATAAAATTGTATCATCTTTGACCCATATGATTTCAGTGTCATTTACAGGTTTGCTTAATTTGACTTGTAATAATAAAGGCTGATTGATTATCAATGTCACATCCTTTAATTTTTCGACGAAATAAGCATCTTCGGGAGTTTCAGATAGTTTTTGAGTCTGATCATCAAATTTTTCAATTATTTTAACTTCATGTTTCGTGGGTAAACCTTTTTAAAATATTGGTAATTAATAGTGTTGTATGGTTATTTTTGAAAAATAGACTATTAGGAATACTGTTTTCAAAATTAGAGTGGCCATTTTTTCTAAAAATAAGCTTCCTTAGAGTAAAAAAACCTTATACAGAACGCTTGATGTAAATGAAGCATGATATATAATAAATGCAACTAGTTAAAATTGCTATTATCTTGTTTTAAAATAACTAGTTACAGTTATTTTTCATAAAAATGTAACAAGTTACTACTCTAACATCACTAGTAATAAATTATCATATGGTATTACGATATTGTTAAAATATCCATAATTTTTATGTGGGAGGGGAAGGGGAGGGGGTATTAACACAGAAAGATTTTCAAATTTTATTATTTATTTAGTAATAAAAATCGTAAATTAAAATAATCTCTTATAATTTTCGCTAAATTATTTTCATAATTTACGTCAAAAAAGAATAGAATATTATCTATTATAACATACTAAAATTATAAAGTTTTTATTAAGTATGCCTGGAGATTTTGCTCATCACTATTTATTTTATTAAAATGACTCCTGGATATAATAAAAAATGAAATTTAATAATTGTATCTTATAGTCAAAAACATCGCAATGAAAAATTTCTCTTGTTTTAAGAACTCGAGGGGTAAATCATGGAATTAAGTTTGTGTGTTATATATTTTAATATCAACAGTAATGTTCCCAGTACAATATATATGTAAATAAGCCTTTCAACTGGCTTTGATGTTTCATCATTTTCAATATATCTTACTATGAACGCTATTTCTTATAATTTAGAAACATCAAATGTATTAGCATCGACTATAATTGAGGCGCATCCATTAGATTCATTTTTTTTGGAGTTTTTTTATTACCATATTTTTAAGGTTTCAAGAAGTATTAATATTATTTAATAGTTTAGAATATAGTTTAAATTTAAATCCCTTCCTTTTTCTTCATTTTAGTTGTATATATAATTTGAGAATACATTCAGAATCAGCAATAAGGTTTATAAGACCTATTATATTGCCTTCTCCCAAAAGACTTGATTACGAGGCGAAATCAAATAATCAAGACATCTTATTATTATTCTTATGATTTAGCAATTATTATTAACATATTATTTTTGGGATGTTAATAATAATATTATGATTGATATTCTGCTAATTAGCTAAGCCTTCACAATAAATGAAATTAAAAATAATATCCCCTTCATCACTCTATAAATCGATTGCTTCAAAGGTCTATAACCCCATGCAAATTTTAGGATGTTGCTTCGTACCCCCTCCTTCCCCGTGATTGCACTTATTAAATAATATATTATTATAATATTACACTTTCATATATAAAATGATCCTTACATAAAGAATCGGACGTATTTCATAATATAAGATCAGGCATATTGCAAATATAATTTGTTTTATACATAGAATTTAAATAAACGAATATGATATAATTTTTAAGTTTCGACTTCATACAATAAACATGAATTTCTACTATATCCCAACAATTCTCGTTCAACGGATATCAATAAGAATGAAATTTAATTTATCTTGTCCGATACTTGCTTAAGTCTATTTCTTATAAACGTTTTTTAATTTACTATGTAGATGCTAATGTTTTACAAGCAAAAAATAGATTAGTATATGCAGCCGTGATTATAACGAAATACCAATTTTTCAAAATATATTTTGCAGAGACCTGCAGGGGTCTAAATTTTAACCCTGGCCCGGCTAGAATGTTATTTCTTCCCATTTTTAAGCCCTTTCTTGAGTCTGAAAAAATAAAACCTATGGCCCGGCCCGGTTTTTAAATTTGTAACACGTCTGAGATTTTTAAATTGAGCCGGTCGTCGAGATTTTTTAAATTTTGATAATTTTTCGGTACGACCCGGATTTCTAAGATTTTGGCGGTCTTTTGTAAATTGTTTCAAATAAAAATTGAATAGCAGTAAATGAATGTTAACAATTCATTATATAACTTCCCAACATTTTTCAACTGATAAATTATAATTTAAATTAATTTGTAAAAAATCAGCCCGGGTTTTAAAAAAAAATAATTTTTACTGCCAAGATTTGTAATTTTTATTTTTAAGGCCTTGATTTTAAAAATCATACCATTTTACATCGGGTGCTACATCCGGCCTGCAGAACCTTGATACTTTGTAAGGTAATAAATTAAAAGTAGTTATATAGGTTAAAAAATATCTTAAAATTAGTTCTCAAATAGTTGCAATATGATATTTAATGTGACCATAACCATTTTTAAAAATTTGAAAAGTTTCAAAACTTTCGATTATTTAAAAATTTTTTTTTTTTCTTTTTGTTTTATTTATTTATTTCACATAACACCTAATTAAAAATATTATAATTTATAAATTATAATTATATAATTAAAAATAAAATTCTATAATTGAGTCCCCAAAAAGAAACCATAATTGTGTCTAAAAATTTCTATTTGAATTTTTTGTCGAATAAAAAGGAATTCTCTTGGTTCATTTGTGAAAAGTCGTATTTTATTAGCAAGATATTTTAAAAACAAAAATGTTGAAGGCGAAAAATGCCCGTTAGTAGCAGTCACAACTGGAGTGAATAAAAAGTTTTTAAAATTTTTGTATTTGTTTATCTTTTTAATTTCAGCCTGTGTTATTAAATTGAAATTTATGTTTGAAGGGAATGATGAAACACACGTGTAGTCCCATATGAGTGATTTGCCGAGGGCCCAAGGTATGGTTGTCATACCATCAGGTCTTAAACAATCTTATGATATATTTTGAAATTTAGAAATTTTCTTAGAATTATGTTTTGGACAGATTTTTCATTATATTTAATATAGCTTATTTATTTTCATTAAAGTTTAGAAATTTTGTGAATTTAATTTTCTGCTGTTTTGGACACAGTCTGTTAAATTTGGAATTATTTTTTAAAGATGTTAACAATTTGATTATTTATGAACATTTGTATTTTTTATTCAATACAAATGATAAAAATATGTTTAATAATATTTCGCTTCTATATACCTTTAATTACAACTTTAGTTCTAACATCACTATCGTCGTATTGCAAATTATAGATCCCTTTATCCTCAGGTTTAACATTGCTTATCACTAATTTATAAGTAAAATCATCATGTGGAAATTGAATCCTATCATCTTCTACTAAATAGGTATCATCTTTTTTCCACTCAAATTGATCAGGTTTATTAGGTAATGTTATGCTAATTTCCAAAGTCGACCCTTCGTCAACCTCTATGGTTTGTATATCTTCAATAGGCATTCCTATTTAATATAAAATAATTTTTAAAGAATTTATATATACTACGAAAATTGAATAATACTTACTTTTTACTAAAACATTAGTTAATATTTTATTATCATCAAATTCCAAACTATAAATTCCCGCATCCTCTCCTTTGACTTTACTAATAACTAATTGGTGTGTTAAATCATGTTGAGTTGAGTACACATGATCATTTTCCAGAATTTTTAAATCATCTTTTTTCCAGGTGACTTTTTCAACCTTTTTAGGTAGTGTAACTGATAAATTTAAACGCTGGCCTTCGTCGACCTCTATAACCTTCATTTCGATTTTTGGTTTGATAGTTGCTTAAATACATAAATAAAATAAAATTAATTGAAATGGTAATAATGTTAAACTGCTTTCTTACCAAAAATAAAATTAAAATAGTTTTTATTATTCTTATAATTAACAATTGCCTTAAAAATTATGATTTTTGGGAAATATAATAAACATTGAGATTGGCATAATAAAGCTTTACTTATAATACAAAGTAAAGAGTGAACATAATAGAATTATCAATTTTGCTTATATATTGTTATATAAAAAATTGGTTACGTATAACTATGACTTTGGTATCGATTTTTTGATCATCAAAGCACATGCTATATATCCCTTCATCTCGAATGATGGCATCAGAAATGCTCAATTTGCATACTTCACCTTGTTGTTCATATTTTATTCTATCACCTGGATATATTTTATTATCATCTTTGAGCCAAGTAACATCTTTAATCACTTCGGACAAACTAATAGTAAGTTCAAGGGTTGATCCTTCCTCCACCTCGACAGTTTCCATCTTTACTGATTGTACAGGAAGAGCTTAAAATTTAAAAAAATATTTGATAGAAGTAATATATTAATTAATCAAAATGAAATATTATATCAAATTTAGAATGAAGATGTACTGAATCTAAATTTTATGCCGATTTTGAATCAGTTCCCGATTTATTTTTTGCTAAAATAGGAGCTTGGACCCACAAATAGTATCAAATATTATATAAGCTTTTATTAACTAACTTAATAATCTCGTACCGTATGAATCATTAAAAATGATAAGATCAAAACATTAAAATTGTGACTATATTTTATTAACTAAAGATTAGAGTAAATTTGATTTGTAATAAATATATATATTAAATAATCAAATTTATAATAAAAGTCAAAAATTAATGTTCAAAAGTATCTATATTTTTTAAACATAATTCAATATTTCAAATTTCTTTGACAGCAGGTGGTGGCCTACGACTATTGCTGCCCATAACTTCAACTTCGAGATAAAAGATTTTGATGGAATTAGATATGTACTTACCAGATAGTGTACGATGGTTGATAAAATATGAATATTTTCATTTTAATTTTAAAACAAAAATTTTTTAGAACAATCGCCAAATATAAAAACATAATTTACATCAATTTTAAATAAGTTTTTAACAAAATGATACAGTATATTTAAAAAAGCAAAAGCTCTTACTATAGATAGCAAATTCTTTTGAAAATAAATTTCATAAATAACAAAAATGAAAAACTGAATCGGTGATCCTTCATACCCTTGGGTGACTCTACATATATGTGCTATGACACAAATAAAAAATCATCTTCCATTGAGATTAAGATTAAGCTCATTATAAAAATGGGCAAACATCTACATTCTGCTGGATATGAAAGTTTATACCAAATATCTTCTCACAATCATTTCAATCGATCATCAAGCATAGTCTATTTGTATGAATGAATTCATACAGGAAGAATTAAAGAACCTGTTCTATATGTCTTTTAAAATCTCTGTCTCGTCCTTCTTCCAAGTTACTGTATCGACTTTACGGGGCAATGTGACTGCTAAATCTAATCGACTTCCCTCTTCGATTTCTACAATGTTCACCTCTTCCAATTTTTCCACCGGTATTTCTATAATTATAAAATGAATATAGATACGGTTTTAATTTATATTGATGAAATATAGGTAGCCGTACCATTTATAATGACTCGTGTTTTGACTTTTTTCCCTTCGAATTCCAAGCTGTATATTCCTTTATCTTCGTGGTCTACCTTAGATACGACCAATTTATAAACGACCCCTTGTTGTACAAATTTCACCCTATCATCCTCCAATATTTCCGTTTCATCCTTTTTCCATTTCACGTCCTTTATTTCGCGAGATAAAGTTACCGTTATTTCAAGTGTAGCGCCTTGATCAACTTCTATTACTTGGATTTCCTCAATCTTTTCCGTTGGAATTTCTATTTATTTTATAATACAATATTAGCACACTGCCAAATGATAATCTCTTCATATATGCAAATATATAACGTATATTACCTTTGACCACCACTTCCGTTTTAACTTGTTCGCCCTCGAATTCTAAAGCGTACACACCTTTATCCTCTGGAACCACTTTAGATATCACTAATTTTTGAACTACCCCTTCTGGTTGGAAGGATATTCGATCGTCTTTTAAAATCTCTGTCTCGTCCTTCTTCCAAGTTACTGTATCGACTTTACGGGGCAATGTGACTGCTAAATCTAATCGACTTCCCTCTTCGATTTCTACAATGTTCACCTCTTCCAATTTTTCCACCGGTATTTCTATAATTATAAAATGAATATAGATACGGTTTTAATTTATATTGATGAAATATAGGTAGCCGTACCATTTATAATGACTCGTGTTTTGACTTTTTTCCCTTCGAATTCCAAGCTGTATATTCCTTTATCTTCGTGGTCTACCTTAGATACGACCAATTTATAAACGACCCCTTGTTGTACAAATTTCACCCTATCATCCTCCAATATTTCCGTTTCATCCTTTTTCCATTTCACGTCCTTTATTTCGCGAGATAAAGTTACCGTTATTTCAAGTGTAGCGCCTTGATCAACTTCTATTACTTGGATTTCCTCAATCTTTTCCGTTGGAATTTCTATTTATTTTATAATACAATATTAGCACACTGCCAAATGATAATCTCTTCATATATGCAAATATATAACGTATATTACCTTTGACCACCACTTCCGTTTTAACTTGTTCGCCCTCGAATTCTAAAGCGTACACACCTTTATCCTCTGGAACCACTTTAGATATCACTAATTTTTGAACTACCCCTTCTGGTTGGAAGGATATTCGATCGTCTTTTAAAATCTCTGTCTCGTCCTTCTTCCAAGTTACTGTATCGACTTTACGGGGCAATGTGACTGCTAAATCTAATCGACTTCCCTCTTCGATTTCTACAATGTTCACCTCTTCCAATTTTTCCACCGGTATTTCTATAATTATAAAATGAATATAGATACGGTTTTAATTTATATTGATGAAATATAGGTAGCCGTACCATTTATAATGACTCGTGTTTTGACTTTTTTCCCTTCGAATTCCAAGCTGTATATTCCTTTATCTTCGTGGTCTACCTTAGATACGACCAATTTATAAACGACCCCTTGTTGTACAAATTTCACCCTATCATCCTCCAATATTTCCGTTTCATCCTTTTTCCATTTCACGTCCTTTATTTCGCGAGATAAAGTTACCGTTATTTCAAGTGTAGCGCCTTGATCAACTTCTATTACTTGGATTTCCTCAATCTTTTCCGTTGGAATTTCTATTTATTTTATAATACAATATTAGCACACTGCCAAATGATAATCTCTTCATATATGCAAATATATAACGTATATTACCTTTGACCACCACTTCCGTTTTAACTTGTTCGCCCTCGAATTCTAAAGCGTACACACCTTTATCCTCTGGAACCACTTTAGATATCACTAATTTTTGAACTACCCCTTCTGGTTGGAAGGATATTCGATCGTCTTTTAAAATCTCTGTCTCGTCCTTCTTCCAAGTTACTGTATCGACTTTACGGGGCAATGTGACTGCTAAATCTAATCGACTTCCCTCTTCGATTTCTACAATGTTCACCTCTTCCAATTTTTCCACCGGTATTTCTATAATTATAAAATGAATATAGATACGGTTTTAATTTATATTGATGAAATATAGGTAGCCGTACCATTTATAATGACTCGTGTTTTGACTTTTTTCCCTTCGAATTCCAAGCTGTATATTCCTTTATCTTCGTGGTCTACCTTAGATACGACCAATTTATAAACGACCCCTTGTTGTACAAATTTCACCCTATCATCCTCCAATATTTCCGTTTCATCCTTTTTCCATTTCACGTCCTTTATTTCGCGAGATAAAGTTACCGTTATTTCAAGTGTAGCGCCTTGATCAACTTCTATTACTTGGATTTCCTCAATCTTTTCCGTTGGAATTTCTATTTATTTTATAATACAATATTAGCACACTGCCAAATGATAATCTCTTCATATATGCAAATATATAACGTATATTACCTTTGACCACCACTTCCGTTTTAACTTGTTCGCCCTCGAATTCTAAAGCGTACACACCTTTATCCTCTGGAACCACTTTAGATATCACTAATTTTTGAACTACCCCTTCTGGTTGGAAGGATATTCGATCGTCTTTTAAAATCTCTGTCTCGTCCTTCTTCCAAGTTACTGTATCGACTTTACGGGGCAATGTGACTGCTAAATCTAATCGACTTCCCTCTTCGATTTCTACAATGTTCACCTCTTCCAATTTTTCCACCGGTATTTCTATAATTATAAAATGAATATAGATACGGTTTTAATTTATATTGATGAAATATAGGTAGCCGTACCATTTATAATGACTCGTGTTTTGACTTTTTTCCCTTCGAATTCCAAGCTGTATATTCCTTTATCTTCGTGGTCTACCTTAGATACGACCAATTTATAAACGACCCCTTGTTGTACAAATTTCACCCTATCATCCTCCAATATTTCCGTTTCATCCTTTTTCCATTTCACGTCCTTTATTTCGCGAGATAAAGTTACCGTTATTTCAAGTGTAGCGCCTTGATCAACTTCTATTACTTGGATTTCCTCAATCTTTTCCGTTGGAATTTCTATTTATTTTATAATACAATATTAGCACACTGCCAAATGATAATCTCTTCATATATGCAAATATATAACGTATATTACCTTTGACCACCACTTCCGTTTTAACTTGTTCGCCCTCGAATTCTAAAGCGTACACACCTTTATCCTCTGGAACCACTTTAGATATCACTAATTTTTGAACTACCCCTTCTGGTTGGAAGGATATTCGATCGTCTTTTAAAATCTCTGTCTCGTCCTTCTTCCAAGTTACTGTATCGACTTTACGGGGCAATGTGACTGCTAAATCTAATCGACTTCCCTCTTCGATTTCTACAATGTTCACCTCTTCCAATTTTTCCACCGGTATTTCTATAATTATAAAATGAATATAGATACGGTTTTAATTTATATTGATGAAATATAGGTAGCCGTACCATTTATAATGACTCGTGTTTTGACTTTTTTCCCTTCGAATTCCAAGCTGTATATTCCTTTATCTTCGTGGTCTACCTTAGATACGACCAATTTATAAACGACCCCTTGTTGTACAAATTTCACCCTATCATCCTCCAATATTTCCGTTTCATCCTTTTTCCATTTCACGTCCTTTATTTCGCGAGATAAAGTTACCGTTATTTCAAGTGTAGCGCCTTGATCAACTTCTATTACTTGGATTTCCTCAATCTTTTCCGTTGGAATTTCTATTTATTTTATAATACAATATTAGCACACTGCCAAATGATAATCTCTTCATATATGCAAATATATAACGTATATTACCTTTGACCACCACTTCCGTTTTAACTTGTTCGCCCTCGAATTCTAAAGCGTACACACCTTTATCCTCTGGAACCACTTTAGATATCACTAATTTTTGAACTACCCCTTCTGGTTGGAAGGATATTCGATCGTCTTTTAAAATCTCTGTCTCGTCCTTCTTCCAAGTTACTGTATCGACTTTACGGGGCAATGTGACTGCTAAATCTAATCGACTTCCCTCTTCGATTTCTACAATGTTCACCTCTTCCAATTTTTCCACCGGTATTTCTATAATTATAAAATGAATATAGATACGGTTTTAATTTATATTGATGAAATATAGGTAGCCGTACCATTTATAATGACTCGTGTTTTGACTTTTTTCCCTTCGAATTCCAAGCTGTATATTCCTTTATCTTCGTGGTCTACCTTAGATACGACCAATTTATAAACGACCCCTTGTTGTACAAATTTCACCCTATCATCCTCCAATATTTCCGTTTCATCCTTTTTCCATTTCACGTCCTTTATTTCGCGAGATAAAGTTACCGTTATTTCAAGTGTAGCGCCTTGATCAACTTCTATTACTTGGATTTCCTCAATCTTTTCCGTTGGAATTTCTATTTATTTTATAATACAATATTAGCACACTGCCAAATGATAATCTCTTCATATATGCAAATATATAACGTATATTACCTTTGACCACCACTTCCGTTTTAACTTGTTCGCCCTCGAATTCTAAAGCGTACACACCTTTATCCTCTGGAACCACTTTAGATATCACTAATTTTTGAACTACCCCTTCTGGTTGGAAGGATATTCGATCGTCTTTTAAAATCTCTGTCTCGTCCTTCTTCCAAGTTACTGTATCGACTTTACGGGGCAATGTGACTGCTAAATCTAATCGACTTCCCTCTTCGATTTCTACAATGTTCACCTCTTCCAATTTTTCCACCGGTATTTCTATAATTATAAAATGAATATAGATACGGTTTTAATTTATATTGATGAAATATAGGTAGCCGTACCATTTATAATGACTCGTGTTTTGACTTTTTTCCCTTCGAATTCCAAGCTGTATATTCCTTTATCTTCGTGGTCTACCTTAGATACGACCAATTTATAAACGACCCCTTGTTGTACAAATTTCACCCTATCATCCTCCAATATTTCCGTTTCATCCTTTTTCCATTTCACGTCCTTTATTTCGCGAGATAAAGTTACCGTTATTTCAAGTGTAGCGCCTTGATCAACTTCTATTTCTTGGATTTCCTTAATATTTTCCGTTGGAATTTCTATTTATTTTATAATACAATATTAGCATACTGCCAAATGATAATCACATTCATATATGCAAATATATAGCATAAGTTGTCCTCGATCACTTTAGGCTTTACCTGTCACTCTCGAATTCTAAAGTAAGCCCTCCTCTGGAATAACTTTAAATATCACTAATTTTCGAACTATCCCTTCTGATTTTAAATAGTTTCGATTATCCTATAAAATATCTGTCTATCTGTCTCGTCTTTCTACCCAATTATAGCATAGAATTTACGACGCAGTGTGTCTGCTACATATAATCCATTTCCCTCTTTTATTTCTAATATTTAGCTCTTCCAAAATTCCCATAGATTTATTATTTTATTACTATATAATAATTTTCTCAATTTTGACTTCAAATTTGACTATATCAGCCTTCAAACTCCAAACTGAACAATCCTTTTCACACATTTGTGTAAATATCACCCTATCATTTTCCATTTTTTTATTTCACCTCTTTTATCCTTCGAGATAAAATTATCATTATTTCTTCTACTATTTCCATTCTAAATATTCTTATATTCTTTTGAAATTATAATATGATATAAACAACATTTATATTTATGATTAAAATCGGCCAAGACATATCGACACTTGTATAAGTTTTTATAATAACATGCGTTATTTATTAAATTTTATTATTTTATTCATCTTATTATTTAGTTTATTACTTAGTTTATTTTACATATAATTTTTTTTAGATAATAACGAATAAATAAATATTACCCTTAACATGTGGTTTCTTAATTTCCCTCGCGGGTTTTTGTTCTTTTTCGTCAACACGTTTTACATCAGAGTCATATTTCCTAATTTCTTCAAACCTTTTTAATAAATTTTTTTTATTTAAATTAAAAAATATTTTTATATTTAAAGTAAAAATTATTATAATAATTTTACAATTATAAATTTAAAATTATTACGATTCTTCAACTATTTCATCGACTTTTCTTTTATCCGGTTGATCAACTATATGAGTTTCTAATTTTATTTTTTTACCAGGATACGCTTCTGTTTCCACTTTATTTGGATAAAAATTAAAATATTAATATATTTTATAATTAATAAACACATATCTATAGAGATTCAACTTTAGATAATCTGTCATTTATAATTAATTAACATGATATAGATAATATGCAATTAAGGGACTTGATAATATAACATTCCTTTCTTTCTTTCTTTCTTTCTTTCTTTCTTTCTTTCTTTCTTTCTTTCTTTCTTTCTTTCTTTCTTTTTATCTGAAAAAAAATTCTACAGTCTCTCTCAATCGATTTAATAATCCTAAATAATATATAATTCGGATTTTTTTAAAAACTTAGTATTGGCGTCTGAGATGGTCTTTTCATAATTAACGATGTAACTCTGACTTCATCAGCATTTTTCTGAGACTCATCTACTATTACATCTTTTGGTTCTAATTTTAAAATATATTTAGGTTTAAGTTAAATAACAAAAAACTTTTAATCACCTTTTATTGTAACTTTTATAATGATTTTTTTATCTTCGTATGATCCCATATATACTCCATGATCGGATTTAGTAACTTCTTTAATGATCAAATGATGATCCATGCCAGATTTAATTTTTTCAACTTTCTCACTTTCATCAACTATTATATTATCCTTCTCCCAAAATATATTTGGTATCTCATGAGACGTTTTTATTATAATATCTAAATTGTTATTTTCAGGAACTTCAGCATGCTGAGTTTTTGTAAACAAACGTATAGGTATTTCTATATTATTTTTAGTATTAAAAAAGTTTAAAATATAATTTAAAAATAAATAACCCATTTCATCTTTATCCATCGATATCTGATCAGCATCATAACGATATGTAGTTGTTTCTGTTTCTGTAAATGTCTCTGAAGTAGTAATTTCATGTTCCCTAAAAATTTTAGGTTGTTTTTCTTTACCTTTCATATTTTTAATAATTTTTCATATAATAAGTATTAATTACTCTCTTTGACTATGATATGAATCACATTTTGTTTTTCTCCTGTATCAAACACATATAATCCCTCATCACTTGATTTTATTTGATCTATCTTGAATATTATTTTATTATTCTCAATCGTGGTACTAATTCTCCTATCTTCTTTGGAAACTGGTGTATTATCTTTTAACAAAATCACTGGAGGCTTAATGGAATCAGGTATCTCTATGACAATTTCAATGTCATCACCAGATTCTGTCACAATAATATTATCTTTGTCCATCGATTTTATAATGTGAGCAGCTTTGAAAGGGATTGAATAAAAAATATTATATTTGTAATTTAAGTCTAGATTAAAAAAAATTTTTTATTCAAAATTAAATTATGAAAATTATATGTTTTAAAATCAATATTGACATCCGGAATTTTGTATTCAATAAAAAAAATCTTAAATCATGATAGAATTTTATATGTCTAAATTAATGTGGCTCAGTGCTTTTTCTTATGTATAAAGTATGCTAGAATTCTTTATATTAGGTTAAAACACCAAATGGTAAGCATTTTCACAAATATTCTTGAATCATCTGATAAAAATAAAATAGAATATTAGTATTAGATAGCCATTCATAGCATTTTTAGTACAAGTGACATAATGGTGTTAAGACCCTCCCTCATCCCAAACCGAGTGAGTATAATCTTGTTAATTATTTTATAATGCTGTCCTCTGTAAATAAAGGAGAAATATAGGGGAAAATTCATATCTGATATTACCAACATTATAAAGCGTGAACTTCTTTGGGCAGCTATATTCTGCTTGATATATGTTTTTAAATTCAATAATTTTCATTAGTTTCGATTATATATACACATCGATAATGAGTGATTAATTATTTAGCCAGGCGCTGGCAATAATATTTCAGGCTCTAATAAAATGCAAATAATGATGATAATAATATGTCTACTTGTTTATATCTGGTAAAATATAAGGAAATCAAATTTTGGTATAAAAACTATGTCTCCTATTCCAAAATTTATAATGCAAGCCTAATATTAGAGTCAAAAAGGCACAAGATATAACGTTCCCAACCCTTCATAAATATATTATTGATGCAGAAAAAATAAGAAAGAGCCAAAAAATGATAAATCACTGCTTTTGTTCACCTAACCTGTTATATTAATCATAAGAATAGTTGTTTTTAAAGGGAGATAAATTAAATCCAATATTTGCAATGAATGAGTCATGTACTCAAACGGATAATTTTAAACGTGCCCATCTTTCTATGAATATGCAAATTAAATTATTTTAAATAATAAGAAATAATTATAATGTTATAAATGCTTCAAAAATGATTTTAACTATTCCACCTTAGATGCATACCCATTTTACCATAGCATGGGGTAAAGTGGCATGGTTTTATAAATTCTAGCTAACGCTTATATTATAACCGATAAGAAGTTGTGATGTATTTATATTTATCTAATGAAAAGACTATCCAGTGATACTATTATTTTATACTCATAAATAATAAATAATAAATAAAAATTCTATTGCAAAATAATAAAATACCATCTCACCCAGGCCTTCTATCATTCATATGTCTTAATCATCAACGTATAAAATATAAATATTGATTTTAATATATGCCTTGAAAATATTAACATTATATACGATTTTTTTTAATGATTAGAGATGATAAGAAATATATAACGCCTTCGGGATAAACTCATTCTTATTCAAAACATTTTAGATATTAACAAAATTAATTAAACCAAAAGTGCATTTAATCCAAAAATAATAGCGTTATAGAATAGTATTTCCTTCTTCTTTATCTTATTATGTTTTCAATGATGTATGTTTTGCAAATCTTTACCTCCAAAAATTATTTCTTTCAACCATTGAAGCCTTAGATGGATCTTATTTTTATCTAAAATTTAGCTTATTACTATACTACCCAATGCCCTTAATGCTCGTTCAGAGAAAATCATATGATCAAGAGGTATTCACTCTTCAATAAATACAGTAATTCTGAATGAAGTTCCATGATAAGATTTCCCTTGAATATTTTTCTTATTAATTCATGGTATTGCATCTATTGGGTAAAAATATTATTATCTTAATTTTATCGGTCAAAAAGAAGCCGTTTTACCAATTTTTCAAAAGAGGAAAAAACTGAACTATGTAACTATTCATATTGATTTGGCAATAGAGCAGTGGTAATTGTATAATACTAAAGCCATAAATCAGGATTTAATGTTAGTTTGTAGTGATGGGAATATGTCATTCGAATCAAACGTTTTCTATGATTGTCTTCAGAGAACAACGAAATTCCAGTTGGGTTGCCTAAGATTTCCAGTGGTAGTTTTACGCCTTATAAATGAGGCAAAATGCCTCAAAATATCAATATATATTAAGCCAATTCTTTATTACATTAATCTACCCATTTTCTGGTTAAAAACTTAGTGTTCCAACAGGATAGAGCTTCGTGATATATCCAAAATGACCAAAAATGAGAATTTGCCAAATTCAATAGAATAAAAAATATTTCAAGACATTTAACGGCTCATCAGGCATTTTACTTAAAGCTTTCTTAATTCCTAAATTTTACATGCCTTCCGGTCATATGAACTTTAATATCACCTGAAATATTATCAGATTTTATCTATATTTATATATATATGGTGGGATATCATTTGACGTTCTTGTATAATAAATATTTTTAATTTTATCCTTATCTATGAAAGTTTATCTTCTGCATCTGCATGCCAAAGAAAAATACAGAATTAAATTATTTAAATGCAAAATGATAATTTCAATATAATTTAATTATTACAAAAAAATGAATTCAAAATTTACGTATTTTTGGCTTCTCGTGGACTTTGTATACATCCCTTTCGTATGATTGTCTAACCTCTCGTGTATCCAATGATGACTGCGAATAATCTTTAGCTAAATTTAAATATCAATTTTTTATTTGATATTATGATTTATTAATTCAAATTTAGTAAAAATAATAATTAAATAAAATTAGATAAAATTTTTGTAAAATATTACGTATAACAATAACGCGAGTTTTAATGTGCTTTCCCTCGAATTCGCAAATATAAATGCCTTCATCATCAGGAATGACATTGTTTATTAATAATTTTTGAACCTTCCCTTGGTCTAAAATATAGATTCGCTTATCTGGGTATAAAGATCTTCCATCTTTTTTCCAACTTAAATTTTTTACTTCCCTCGATAAAGTAACAGTTAATTCTAATTGAGAACCTTCTTCAACCTCTGTTTCTTGTATATCTTCTTCTTTTAAATGAGGATACTCTAAAAAAAAATTTTTTTGATAATATTAAGTCATATATTAATTAAATATACCAAAAGTTTCCTCGGTAATTTCATTTTTATCTGGCTTGATTTTGATTCTATGGAATACTTTTTCCGATTTTAAATCATACGTATTTTTAGCTAATAACATATTATGTCTTTCATATAATTTTATAATAAATATACATACCAATAATGATCAAATTTAATTTTATCTCCATTTTTTCATTTTTGAAAATATATTCTCCGCCATCCTCCTTCTTCACATCATTAATCTTCAATACATTCCCCAATCCATTTTCATGTTGTTTGAAAATAATATGTTGATCTATTGATGTGCTTATTATATTGCTTTCATGAAGGCATATAATTGGCTTATATGATTTATCAGTTATATCAATGTTGATTTCTAAATCCGCTCCTTCCTCAATATAAATATCCTTTAATGAAGTAGATGATTTCGATATTTCTACATCACTAGAATTAAAAAATTTGAAATAACAAAATAGGTTACCTATCCTTTCACTCTTTTCAGTCACTTTATATGTATCTAAAGTATCGCCTCTGCCAGGTTGTGTTAAATCTTTTGTCACAATAAATAATAAATTTTATCAAATAATTAAAATTAAATAATTTAAATAAACATATTAAGTTGTCTTGTTAAAAACAATTTAATAATGAGATAATTTGACACAATCCCATTCCATATAAAATTAAAACTTGGTTAAAATCATTTTAAATCTACTATTATATTAAAAATAACACTAATTCATAGCAGAGGTATGCAACGGCCTAAATTTTTGGTCAGGCCAGGATTTGAAAAAAAAATCTTTTAATTAAGCCTGTTCCAAGATTTTTTAGGAAGTTATCTAGCCCAACCGGATTTTTATTATTGATCATTTTTCGGCCAGACCGTTATAATTTTGGCTGTATTTTGCAAATTGTTCCAAAGAAAAATTTAAAATATTCGTAGTAAATGAATAGTAATGATTTTCAAACATTTTCCAACTGAATGATATAATTTAAATTTATTGCTTTTAAATTGGCCTATTTTTAATTTTTTTCAAATTTTCCTAGATTTTAAAAATCATATCGGCTCTTTCCAGACCGGGTCTGCAGTTCTCTGATTTGTAGATAAATTATTGAAATATCCCTTTATTTGTAAAGCGTGTAATTGGACAGTATGAATTTACGAGTAGATATTATTATATATTTTTCTATTTTTATTATAAAACACTTATATTAGACGTTAAACCAATATGGGGGATTCGAAACTGTAATCTGTGAATTATGATAGTAAAATTGACAAATATTTATATAAAATTTGTATAAAGGACGCAATAATACAAATTACTTACTAAAGAGGGATGTAGACATAAGTATTTCTGTTGATATCATGTTTACCCAAAACTCTAAATAAACGACTACTTAAAAGAACTTTTCAAAATATTAAAAAATTACTATGATAAAAAGTGAAATTAGCTTTATAACTTCAATAGAATAAATGAAGATAAAATGAATCTATGACAGTTTGTATAATTAAAATAAAGACAAAAACAGATGGTTTAATGGTTGAAACACAGCATTGAGAGAGGGTTATTCTTAAAATAAAGAAAACCTGACAATCTGACAAGAAAGAAAGCGGTTAAGTTAGCAACTGCAATGGAATTAACTAAGCTGGTGGCCAAAAATAAATTTTAAACCCCTCCCCCCATCGCAAATTTGCTTGTTCTCGTAAATATTATTTAAGCTAATAAAAATTTCCCTCTTATACACCTCCCTCTCCCCAAAAAATGTATACAATATATCATTATAAGGAAGAATTTGAAAGAAAAATTAGTGAAAGTTAATTACTTTTTAAAATAACAATTATTCATTTTAGAAAAAAAAAATTTTTAGTAAAATAAAAAAGTGAAAACTCAAAATTATTTTTATAAAAATCGAATATAGCCAAAGGCCTATAATAATTGGACCTAAAGACACCGATAAAATTTAAGGGGGAAAATTCAGCTAATAGTGCCTCTCCCCTTAGCAAAATCCTGGATATGCCGATGAAAGGAAAGCGATGTTATGTGGTGGACAATAAATTAATATATCAACTCTGAAATCATAGACCGCTTAGAATAACTGGGCACGTAAAATGTTAGAACAGAAATTATGTCGCTACTGGATACCAAATTTGGGGTTTGAAGAAGACATAAAAATAATCTAAAATGAAGAAAAGAGTAAAGCATTTTATAATGGATTGCTCCTAGTGGTAAATCAAGAACTCAGCTCTCAAGAATTAATAAAATTGAAATTAATATCGCAAGAACTCATAACACAGAACTAGGATCTTCCAATATCACCATTCAACCCAAGAATCTACTACATCGCAACCTCACAAATCTACCATGAAACATCTTTCGAATTTAATAGATGTCGTAAATCTCACTTCTCCTTCAGTCATAGTCGTAGATTGTTATCATAAAATAAGACCCTTTCAATCCATAATGGAAATATGAAAGGAAAAGTGTTGTATTTCAAATTAACTATAATATTTATAGAAAGAACTTGAATGAATTAATTATTTAAATATCCATTTATTTGTAGAAATCATCTTTGTTTTCCAAATTTAAATTTAGATAGATATAATTTATGAATTTTCAAATTGGTATATTATTTAATTTATTATACTTTTATAATAGTTATATGAAAGAATCAATATTAAGCATTAAATATATAATTGTCCAATCTCTCTATTTAATTTTTAAAAAAGTTAATTTAGATATTTTTTAAATAAAATAATAATGTAAATGATATTGAATTAAAGGTGAATATCAAAAATAAAAAATAAATTACAAAATAAATATATTTCTCAAATTAAATATAGTAATAGTATTTATTATCATGTCGTACATATAAGTTGAAGTTAAAATAAATTTAAATTCAATAATGCTATAAGGTAAATATTCGATTGAAAAATAAAAATTGTTAGTTCTACCTTTGAACATAATATTAGCAAATGTACTAGCTTTGCCATGATCATTTGTAGCTTCACAAGTATAAACACCTTCGTTGCTTTCGGAAACTAATGTAATATAGAGGATAATTCTATTTTATTTAAGTATTATAAATGCTTAAAGTTGTTAATAAAATAAACTTTCCATCTTTAGGTGAATAGTATTTGTGAAATCTAACATCACCACCAGGTTCTTCTTCACTTAATATTTGAGTCCTTGTGGTCTCTTTAGTCGTCTCGGTAGTTTTAGTGGTAATTGTTGTTTGAGAACTTGAATCTATTATGTTGTCTTGATATTCTAAGTGCACAGTAGGTCTGTTTTTCTCAATTTCGCTTTCGTGACCTTTGTGATCTACTTTAGTAAAGTACCATTTGATATCAGGTCGTGGCTGACCTTCAACTTGGCATTCTAATACAATGTCCAAGGGATATTTCTTGTTTCCAGCTTTGTCTATTTTGATTTCCATCAACTGAAATTGTAAATTATATGATATGTAAACAATCATTTATCAAAGAATTATTTTAAATTAATTTCATCTTTTTTATTTATTTTATATATCTCTACATTAATTAAGCTGATCTATCAAAAGGGTTTTAAATACTATTATATAAAATTTAATAAATGATCGGAAAATGGGTAAACTTTATTCAAAATTGTGTGTGGTTATTATTCATTAACACTAAAGTTATAGAAGGTATAAAATCTAAAAGATAAAATAGATAGGAATACCCAAAGTTTTCCATAAATATTATAAATATCGCAAAGAACTTAGTTATGTATTTCATGTTACGAAAAAACTTGAGCCCTCGCGACATATAAAAGGTAATATAATTTAGATCGATTAAGTGGTCCCTATAAGGAATTTAGAGATAGAATTTAAGTAATTTTAAGAAATGTTATTGCAACTCTGTGTATTTTGTTATAGTATATTTAATGAAGAGATATTCTGGAATATTAAGTTAATCATTGCAATATTGTGATCACTAAAAGCATATAATAAGGTGTTATATGTTAGAGACGAAATTTGTAGAATTAATTCAAGGTCAACGACGAAATTTAAATAATTATCACAAAAAAAGGCGAGTATGATATAAAGAATAGATAAATTTCAAATTAGAATGTTTTTATAACTGGATAATAATTAAAATATTTTTTTTAACATGGCTCAAATGAATACTATCAATGGAAGATTTAAGAAAAAAAATGAAAGGCTTTATAGGAAATAAAAATTAGCAGCGAAGTTATTATAAAGATAAAAAAGGACACTATAATAATATTAACCTGACTCTTAAGTGGCTTTATGAAGGACGGCTCAGCTTCTTTTTTAGATTCTCCAGAAGTGGTCGATTTATATAGCTTTTCCTCTTTTATAGTTATAAAATTTTGCGATATGCCAGATAAATCTGGTTCATCAGTTTCTAAATAAGAGACACCTGGATGTTGATCTCTTTCAATCGATATTTGAAGTCCAGGATGAAGTTTTTCGACATTTTCCATATCTTTTAGTTATTAATAAATTTTAAAAAATACATAATTATTTATCAGGCATAAAAAACGTTACCTATAGTAATAACAATTTTAGACGAGGTTGAAGCTTCTCCATTTAGATTTGAGGCAACGCAGGTATAAATACCGTTTAACTGATTGATATCGCCACCAGAATCAAAAATTTTAGATAGGTTAATCTCTAAAATATATTTATTATCTGGACTCTTATCTATTATTTTGTAGATGTTAGATGTTTGTTCCTCGTATCTTTTTGTAGTTTCAATATTCTTGATATTTTTACCATCTTTATACCAATTGACTTTAGGCACAGGAAGGCCATCAATAATCGTTTCTAAATGAATCACAATATCTTGACCTCTAATCTTGTTTGATTCAATGTTAATGCGAGCATCCTTCAGTGGGGCAATAATTTTCGGTGAGCCATTCGAAAAGGGAACTTCTTTCATTACCTTTTCACTTCTCACACTACTTTCTATATATTTTGTTTCATAAAAGGAAGTTCTTCTCATATCTCCTTGATCATCTTGATCTATAGCTAAATGTTCATATTCCTTTGATATATTAAAAGTGTCGTCTGGTTCACCTTAAAAGTTAATATGAAATTTAAGAAAATTTTATAAACAGAAAAAGGACGAAAAAAAATCATTATAAATATTTTACGTTATATTATTTTATTTTATTTTAAGACAAATTAAACATTAAAAAAGACAAATTTTAATTATTTTCCTCATTAATTGATCCACTTATTTAATATATAAAATCTCCACAATCAAAAAATGATCGTTTTCGTATCATCTTAAACTATTAAAATTCAAGGAGAATATACAGCGAAATGATAATCTTCTCCTATCTACCAGTACAGAACCCGGGATCCCCTATTTAAAAAACACACGCTTTGCGTTTGAACTAGCTTGAATTTAATTATATCTAAAATTTTGATTGTATATATTGCTATTACCATTATGATTTATTAATCTATAAATAATATTTATAGATATCTTAATATATTCTTTAGAGCTACATTTGGTTAAATAATAATTAAAGAAATTTTCTATTAACACCACCAAACCTACCATTGACCCTTAAAAGTTTAAGAATTTAATTAGTCACAATGTCAAATATTTTTGGGTGAGAAATTTACTAAATGTATTTATAGATATATAATTAAAAAATTATTCATTTTATTTGACTATTTAGATTTTTAATTTTTGTAGGTAATTTTTTACCCTAATTTTTGTGACGGATCAAATTGCCTCAAACTATTCTCATTTCAAAAAAGATTCTATATTTTATTTAATTACTATTTATTGATAAATCCATAAATTAAGTATTATATAAAAAACAGAATGAAACATATATAAGTTATATAAAATAGGAGAATATTTTTTTCATTTTTAGATTACAGAAGGTTCGGGTTTTCCGGTGAAAGTGGATGCTACAAATGCAAATAGAATACCAAAATTAAAAACCATATTAATCAATATTAAAATATTCACGAGAAGTTAAATAATATATTCTTAACTTCATTTGTCTCTCTTAGGATAATTTGCCATTGATATGAACATTAAATCACAATATCGATAGTAACCATTAAGACTTATACTAAAGATTTTAAGCTTAAAATTAGCCACCACCCACCCTTAAAGTAATTAAATTATTTTATAGTTATCGGGTATAGGCTTTTGTTTTATCTAATTTCCTTTGTAATTAGCCTATAGTCGTTTAAACATCAGTTCTCGGACTGTTGTGCGTACAAGTACGTGCGGCTTGCCCACAAACGTGTTGAGGGCTCCTCATTTTTCTTCCCCTAAATTAAATATCCAGTTTGATAGATTTTGAGGAAAACCTAGCGTAGCTCTTATGTATCCACAACTAGACGGAAACGCTTTTATCATGTATCACGTAAAAGGACAAAATTCTGATTTACTCATCGTCAGATAAAGGAAATATGTGTTATTCCTCATCATTCTTAACGGGTTACAGCTAGTATTTATTATAATCAAACCAAATCATATATAAATTTAAATACATTTAGCATTATTTAGAAATCTCTGTCTATATCTATTCTATTTGCTTCTAATTGCAGTGATTATAATATCAATATGTAAATATTGCATTAGCAAACACATTTATTATCCATAATATCAAAGTTTGACAGTAATATTTTATAATTCATAAATGTATAATAGTCATTCTTTTAAAAAAATTAATGTTATATTTTATTAATTTTTTGCAGAAAAGGGGATGTGGGGAGAGTAGGGAGGGGGTATAGGGAAATAATTTATATTAGCTTAAAATTGATATTTACAAAACTTTCAATTTCTTAAGGAGAAACTTCCTCACACCCCATCTTGGGTAGACCTATGTCAATATAAGTCAATTGACTTCAAAATCTAACCTGTCAATAATCAATTTAATTTTTTCAATAAAATTAAAAAAATATATTTTAAAAAGATGTACTTTGTCCCAAGTTCTGAGAGAACAAAATTAACAAACTATTTCATAAAACAAAAATATATATATTAAGTTTAATATCTAATTTTGTAGAATATGCAAATTTTAATAAAAAATTGAAGAAATAGACTTTTGTAAATTCACTTCAAAAATGAATTAAAATTTTTATTAATATAAATTTTATAATATGCTAATTCTTCCTTTGAATTTCAATCTAAAATCCTGATTTTTATAAATTAGTTTTTTTTAATAGAATTTTTTAAATAATTAATTTAATATAATTATGTTAAATAGGTGGTTGTCGAAAACTAAATAGGAAAGATTATGGTTTTAATGGTAAATAACTTTTTAAAATTATTTCCAATTCAAAAATGGAAAATGTCCAATCTATCTTTGTAAAATCTTCAAAAATAAAAAATTATTTTTGTTATTTTAAATCATCCTTGAAATGTGTACTTAAGTTTTATCCTTTAAATTTTGGTTAAAAATTTTTTAAATTTTTTGCGATCTTTTTAGTCATTTTAATGTAATCATTTTAATTTTTATAATTTTTTTTATTCCTTATTGTTTTTTAGACCCATTTTAATTCTTTTTTTCAGAGATAATTTTAATTCTCTATTTTTTCTAATAATTCTATTACGCTTTTTTCATCTTCTATTTCATTACAAATACTGGAAATAAATTCGCTTAGTAATTTACTATTTTACAAACAATACAAAAATATAAGTTATAACTGAAGTCTGGATTAGAACTTTCTAAAAAAACCAAGCCCGAATTTTTACATTATGAGATAAAAGGGGAAAAAGAAACAGAAAATAGAGAATTGAGAAGAGAAAATTATTAATTTTTTAAAAAGGAAGATTAAAATAGAGCTAAAAGACATAAAACAATAAATAACAATTTTCCTTGTTTGAAATTATCATTATTTTCTTTTTTAATTGGACCTTTCCCTTATTTAATCGAACTTTTTCTTTTCCGGACCATTTCCTTTATATTAGATGTTTTTCATTTTTGGTCGGATTTCTCTCTTATTTGATGGTACTTTTTTTTATTGGACCCTTTCTTTTTTCGATGAGAACTTTTCCCATTTTTACCAAGGGGGGAGGAAGGAAATTTTTTTAGGGAGATCGCCAGTGGATTAAGAGGTATAGAAGCCACACCAATATTATTCAAAAATTATTTAAAACAATATTTTTAGGTTTTAGATTTATTAATTAATTTTTGACTTTATTTTAATGATAACCATAACGCTATATATATTTCCTTATATGCCTAATTTATAAAGTGATTTTTTTGTTTTGAATAATTTAACGTAATAAATATTGGTAGAAAAGATCAAATAATATAGATCTCCTATCCAGGGATGGGCTGGTAGGATAGGGTACTGTGGGACGTGTTTAGTAGGGTCCCCAAATTTAGGGAACTTCGCCTACAAACTACCTTTTGCAGGCTTGTGGCCAGCTTTCGCGAATGATATTATGATACAAAATATGAGAGACAATAAAAAATATATATAATAAATAATTATAGATATAAATACAACATTAACCTAACAATTAGTACCAAAATATATATAAAATTATATGTAATATTAATTATATGTTAAAGTCAAGTCATGTAAGATTACAGTCTTAGTCAATTCGTGTATTTTCAATATATAAATTTAAAATGACTCAAAGATACGATCAAATTGTCTAGAATTTATTGGATAAGTTTTTAACACATACTACTAGAATATATTTTTGACAAAATCAGATTTTTTAAATGTTAAAAAAAAACTTTTAACAAATATTATGCTATATTTATTGCGTTTTTTAAGTTTGAATAATCAAATCTAAATTCCTCACAATTTTATAAGACATACACATGCATCGATGGTAACATATATAAATAGTTGTAATACAAAATAGAGTGAGGACAAAATCTTTATATATTAAAGGAAAAGGTTTTTCTTAGTAGAATCACTGACAAAAATGTCCTGGAAAAAGCCGAACAAAAGTATCCCGAATAAAAAATACCCGACATAAATATACATTGGCAAAATAATCGGACAAAAATAGGCTAATGACATACCCTGTCAAACAAATTGTGTTTATATAATTTTTCCAAAATATTTTAACCCATTATTTATTCATTATTATATGTGAAAAATATTTATGTTTTTATATATCATTTGTGGCCTAGTCGGTGAGTGCGCTGTGGCTTAGTCGGTGAGTGCGTTTTAAATTTAGTAAGGCCATGTTTTTTTTCTTAAGCTAACTTGGTGGTTCCATACTTGGGGGGGGGGGGTGATATATAGTAGATTGGAGGTGACTGCTCGTAAATATATATTTAAAAAAAATTGAGTCTTATTTATTTTGACAAAATTTGTAGTTGGTCTGACGGGTAATATCACTAGCCATAAAAATACACTAAATTTCAAAAAAAATATTTAAAAGCTCAAAAAGGTAAACATTTTCAAAATTACCCTCTTTTAAATCATTTAAATCAATTCTAAAATTGAGATATTTTCGTGTCTTTTTATCCGTAATTATTTGTGTTCTTTGTTTTTTTGTCGGGGAACTTTTGTCGTTGGTTCGTGATATTTCAGTCCGTGATACTTCTTAGTTAGTGGCTAGTACAATTTTATGCCCAAGTGGTCATCTATTACACTAAACAAACACTTATGTCTTCTAAAAATATGAAAGGCAAGAAAAATGGGATACAAAAATCATAACACCGTGTTCATGTTATTCTCTTGTCAGTTTAAATGATGAGGTAGAATCAAATATAGATGACGTTAATTTTTTTAATATTATACTTTTCATCACTTAAACCATTAAGTCAATAATCGATGGTCAAGTCAACTAGATTCTGTGCGAGCTTTAGGAAATTGATAGATTTATGACACATTTGAAGAATTGGTTAATGATACATCAAAGACTAAATTTAAAAGTGAATAAAATATGAAATTTTAATTCATCTGTACTTTAAACTATGGTATTTTATTCTAAATTTATAAACTTTGCTAGTAAATGGTGCAAAAATCTAGAGCATTCTTAACCTAGATTTTATGTATTTCGAAATGTCACAAATATTTATAAAATACAGAAGAAATGGAGGATTTGACTTAATGCTCATAACTAAAAA